TGCTCAGTTCCAACCTCTGCCCAGAATCATCTCCAAGAGGTGACTTTTTTCTCCATCACCGAGAACGATCTTTGTATCCTTCTTTGATAGAATATTCCTACTTTACAATTCTCCCATTAGGAATTCTCCCATAAACTCTAATTCTTCATAAAATCCAGTTAAATCTAAATCTCTTCTTTGAAACCTTAATCTTTTTATTCTCACTAATCAGGAGATACTGATCATTCATAACCAACATCCTGTATATTTAACAGCCTTGAAAATGTTATCATTGCCTTATCATGTGGTACCTTAAGTAATCTTCATTATCAGCTGCTCCCCTGAAGCACACCCAGAACTCCCAAAATAACTCCTATCTAAGAATTAGGGAGTCATGTAGGCATTTCTGTCTAGAGTGGGGCAGGAAAATGCTGGCATACATTGTATACTTCCCAACAAGCCACCTGAAAATCTGCCTCATCGTTTCTCTTTTCCAAAGTGCTTTTTTCCCCACTGGTGGCCACCAAGACCCCTTCTTTATTTCCCCTCAGAGTGTTTACCCTTGGGGTCCTTTTTTACCATGTTTTGCAAAGCAATTCCACTCTGCCTCAAAACTTGCAGAGGCCACTCATTTCCTAGATCAGTAAGACACTAAGGCCCAATATGTGGAAGGACCCATTCTCCTTAGAAGCCTAGTAACCCTCTACAGTAATTAGAGTGTGTCCTTTGGGATCCTTTTGTATTTGAAGAAATAATAGAATTTCACAAAACACCTGAAAAGACATTAAGCTTTTCTAGTTGTTTCTCAGTGGGAGAACTGGTGTGAATTACTTAGTTTACCATTGCACGAAGCAGAAACGTCTCCCTTATTATTCATAGACAGTTGCTTAAAAATCATGGAATTAATAAAGAAGCCACATCTCTTTAACAATATTCTGTGTTTTTTTTTTTTAAACTAGGGGACATTTCTATAACCTCAAAAGTATCCTACTGATTACATGAACATCAAAATGAAATATTTTCTTCTTCCTGGAAAAGTAGAACTTTGGATGGGAATGCATTTCTCTTTTTGCTATAAGTATAAGCCATGTTAATGCTAATGAATAATTCCTGTAAAATAAGATTCACATGTCATGTGAAATAAGTTTCCTTTGGAACCAACTCTTAAGAACACATTAATAAATGTGATTTTCTCACTATAGTTATTTTTCTACTGACGTAGGCATGAACCTGAGGACTTAACATCAAACAAAATCATTCTTTTAAATTAAAAAGTAAGAGAATTTTTTAAACTTAACGCATCTCCACCCCATTTTATAGCAATCTATGCTTTGTGGATAGTTAGAGATGGGTTTTATTATTCATAGCATGTTTGTGCCCTTGGGACCCGTAAAAGTTGGACCGGGTTAGCAAGAGCTGTGTTATTTACAGTGAGAGAAGCACGTGCCATTTGTTTGTTTGTTTGGCTGTTTTTGAGAGGGGGAAGAAGAAAATAGTATTTACATAGGCTTGGTCAGTTTGAAAAATTAATTTGCCGCATTGATAAATCCCAAGCTTAGAGCTTGTTAAACAGCTATGAAATTGAGTATGAGGTTTTGTACTTGAGTATACCTTAATAAAGAACAGGTTAGATTTCAGCTGAACCCTGGACAAAGCTGCATTGTTATCTTTGGCACTTTGTACATCTGATTATTTTGTGATGATCTCATCGCCCTAAAAACTGTAAATTCACACTACCAATTTCATAATTGGTCATCAGTCTCCTGAAAGCTTTCATAGTTGCATAGACAGGAAAAAAACCTAGAGGAAAAAAATCACACATCTTTTAAATCACATTATATTATTTTATAAAGGATTTGTAGAAAGTGAAACATTTTGCTACCATTTAGGTGTGGCATAGAAAACTAGGGCAATGCTTACTTTTAGAAATATCAAGTGTTACTCACTGTTTTAGAATTAATTGCATAATTATCCAGTAGAACAGTAAGATCCCAGGGTACCTTAATAGAAACACTACACTTCCAAATAAAACAATAATAATAATTAGCACCTACTATATTCCAAGTACTTTATTAGCTATAATTTTTTAACTCCCCACATCTCTGTGTGTAAATAAACACCATTAGCAATATTAATCTTTTCTATAGTTTAGAAATAAGAACACTAAGGCAGAGAAATTGATTTGAATGATAAATTAGGCATTATGGCTTTGAGTCATCTAAAGAGGCAGATATTCAATAGGAACGATAGATGTTAGTAGAGTATGAAAATCACTCTTGCCACTGTTCATAAATTACTGGGTAGTCATTAATTAAAAATATCATCTTTCGTCTGAGCATCAAGGAAATTAACAGTTTTAAAAGAATGCATGCCATCCTTGAGACTCTTCGATATGCCCAAGATGTTGTAGAACTTACTTTAGAGTTACCATTCTGGGTAGATGGTAGCTACATGAAGTTGTATGACATTGAAACCATCGGGTTGGTAGACTAAAGACTTGTAACAGATGTCAGAGTCTCCTTAGGGAATAAGGTTTACAAACCACATCTTGCCAACAAAGCAATGAGGTTTTGTTAGTTTGTTTTTGTTTCACTGATGCACTCAATGAATACATGAATGAATGCATCCTTTTAGGATGGGCATGAAAGTGTGCGGAGGTGCTGTGGGCCCCCGGGACATTTGATGCTCCTTTGTAACACCATAACCACTAAAGAAAAAAACTACCATTGGAACAGACAGTTATGGAGCCATGGAAAGCTGACACCATCCCTAAAGTACTGTTATAAAAAGACAAAGTGAAATATGGCTGGTCAGGTACAAGTTGTGAAGTCTACAAAGTAAAGGGATGTTCTCCGCTGTAAAGTTCCAGAACCGTAGACTCATTGGACAGAAAGCTGTGATTAATGCCCATCTGGGGAGAACCCAAGCTGGAGGGAAGCCAGCCAACTAAACTTCATTTGGGGAGATAAGTAAGACAAATAGTGACCTTGCCATGATCTGAAATGACTCTACGACATGGCCATTCGAGCCAAAGAAGGAACAGTGTAGCCAGACTCTGCTCTGGTGATCTGAACTGGCTGAAGGTGGAGAGGGGAAAGTGCTTTGAAGTTTCATCATAGAAATATAGCTGGTACGTGGGTAGCCAAAGGGCACACACTTAGGTTAGCTGTGTCTTTATGTTACTGAGTTGAATTTCTATGGTGAGACTTGTCTGATGGCATCCATTGCCCAAGATCATTGATTCACCATAGATAAACAAGTTCTCAATTCATTTGGGTAATAGAGTTTAATTGCAAGATATAAAACATTTGTCCTGAGTCCATTTTGCTCCCAAAGTTGAATTGTTTTCTACTGCATGATGATGGTTTGCCTTGCTGACAAACTATTAGGAAAATCCCCACTATCTTGCATGCCTCTCTGGTTCCAGACTAGGGGTTTGTGGAGGCCATGGAAACAATTTGCTCATTTTATCCACCTATCCTTGAAGTATTGAAATCTGAGCTTCCATTTGAGCTAAACCTATACTCAGCAGGCAGTGAGTTTTCTTTGGCAGTATAGTGTTCAAAGGGATTACTGATTCTTCTACCTAAGAATCAAAGAAACAAAAGAGCATACCATAAAAGGGCCAAACTTTGCACTAGACATGCACAAACGGGCCATAACCTCTAATTCTACAATATCTATTGGCAGAAACATGACTTAGAAAAATTTCTAGGGTTGCCTGGGTGGCTCAGTCTGTTAGGCATCTGCCTTCAGCTCAGGTCATGATCCCAGGGTCCTGGGATCAAGACCCACATCGGGCTCTTTTCTCAGAGGAGAGCCTGCTTCTCCCTCTCCCTTGGTCTGCTGCTCTGCCTACTTGTCTCTCTATCTCTCTATCAAATAAATAAATATGTAAAATCTTAAAAAAATAAAAAAAATTCTAAATTTATACCTAAATAGAAAGAAATAATTAAATTCAATTGTTATGTCAAATCTTAAAATTCAAACTTCTCAGATCACACATCTAAGCAGTATGTTTTGTCTTCTCAGTTTTAAACTGGTGAAAGTGCCCTTAAAATATGCATTATGAAAAAAATATGAATGCTGTGGTTTTGCATTTTTAAGGATGGAGAGAAGGCATAGCATTTTATAAATAGTGTGCAATAAAGGCACCCTTTCCTTTGCAGCTTTATTAAATGTTTTATTGTTATTTGTTTTTTTTAGAAAAGTGCTATGAAAAGAGTAATAAAAATATAGGCGCGCGCGTGTGTGTTGTGAGACTTTAGGGAAAATTCAGACCAAACAAACTGTAGCCTGTTCACTTTATCTCCATAGAACTAAAAGAAACAACTGCGTTTCCTTTGCAGCCCCAACATCCTCTCGTTCTTCTTTTATGCACCGCCTGCCATTCTTTCCTTTTGCCTTTCCTGACTATTGTAATTTGGGTGCACTCCTTTACCAGCCTCAAGGCAAAGAGCTTCATGCCTTTCTCTTCTCCTTCCCTGCTTTTTTTTCCCCGTCTGAGTACATTTCACAGACGACCGTCTTCCAAAATAACAACATCAATTAATTTTTTAACTTAAAAAAAAAATCATCTTTAGCCCTGAGTCTGCCCTCTGCATTGATGTGGAGTGTGTGGAAGAGGCTGTACCGGGGCTGATAAGCCCTGTCTGTGATGTCTGTTCAGGAGGAGGCAAGGCCCTAGCCGCTCACTGGTGCCTGGGGCTGCCTATCCAGCAACACGGCTCCCCGGGAAACTGACGGCTGACCTCCCACACCCGGAGCTGTGAACCCAGGCAGGAGCGGGCTGCTGGGGCACGGGGAGCAGCCCCTGCGCTCGGCCCGTGCCCGTGACTCTGTGACAGGAACTTGCCCCTTGCCACTCTCTGTTTTTGCCTAGACAGCAGTTCTCCCCTCTAGGGCTCCCTAGGTCCCCATCACGATCACTCACCACACTGCTTTCCCTTTTGCAGAATCCGATGACCTCCGTGGGGACCCTGCACTCAGCCATCAGAGCGCTCCTGCTGCCCAGGATGGTCCTACTTCAGTACTAGATGCTGGTGGCCTTGAAAGCATCACCCGGTGTCCCCAGCAGCTTCCTCAGATGATGGCTGCAGGTAAACGTCGGGGACAGCTGGCACAGGACACAAGCAAGGCCTTTTGAGTTAGTGGAAAGCTGGCCTGGCGGTGAACTTGTGCGTTGACCCAGGAACCTGGGATCTTTAAAGAAATCAGGTCGTGGAGCTAGTGTACATTAAGAAACATTCAGTCAAATGGCACATATTTTGTTGAGGGTTTTTTTTTGTTTTTTTTTTTTTAAACTCTGTGCTATTTGTTTTTAATATTATTTATTTGCTTGTTTTGTTGAAAGTCTGACCTTAGAAGAAATATTTTGAAAGACACTTTTAGGCAGACACCTGCATATTCTTAACAGTAGGGAAAGAATACGTTACAAGGTAACACTAATGAATTCAGTCAGGACCAGCTTGGCTAGTTGACAACTGTTTCTAAAGATTCTATTAATTAGTCAGAAGGTGTGCCTGCTCCAGAATCCTACTCAGAAGCAGATGATTGCATTTATTTTTAATCTACTAAGCCAATCGACTTGTTTTACCAAAGGAGTAAGCCTGCTTTGCCTCTCAACCTTGGAACTTAACTAGTGTTTTTTCACTGAGAGAAAGAAGCAGTTCTTCAGTTTTGTTTCATTTTGTTTTTCCAGGAGTCCTTTCTTAATGGCATGCTGTGGATAATACAAACTACATGTCATTAAGTTTCCTCCCAGAATGTATTGGGAAACTCTTTATGTTTACATCTGGAGAAAACATTGCCGTAGATTACAGCGCTTTATTTTTGTGTGGTTTGGGAATGTGCTAAATGAAGTCTCCCTTCTCTAGAAACGTGCTCTCCTTTAAGACAAACACTCTCTCGCCTTGTTGACTGAAAGTCATTGTTTCTTCCCACAGCAGCCGATGGTTTGGGGAGTATAGCGATAGACACCACGCAGCTCAACATGTCCGTGACAGATCCCACAGCCTGGGCCACCGCCATGAATAACCTGGGCATGGTTCCCGTGGGGCTGCCTGGACAGCAGCTCGTGTCCGGTAAGCTTGGGCTTGAAGGGACTCGGTGGCAGTGCCAGTGGGTGGGGGTGACAGGGGCCCGGTCATCTCCCTCACACACAAGTGTTGAGCAGAGTCTGTGATTTATGACGGGGGCATGTTTGGCAGGTTGTGCTGGAAGTTCTTCTCCCCATCACCTGGCTCTCCTGCCGAAGAGCTATTCTCAGAAGAAAAAGGCCATAGGCGGTGTGTAACCTTCATAGTATTGCAGTTTCGAGTTCACATTTTAAATTGCTACATTAGAAGAGCTAACATTCGCTTTCTAATTCGCAAAACTCTTTCACATTATGCCATTTGATTCCACAGTCATCTTTTTGAAGCAAGTAGGTATTGTTGTTTATTGATTAAATGATTGATTAATGTTCCCATTTAAAAGACAGGGAAACAGGGCGCCTGGGTGGCTCAGTTGGTTAAGCGACTGCCTTCAGCTCAGGTCATGATCCTGGAGTCCCGGGATCAAGTCCCGCATCAGGCTCCCAGCTCCACGGGGAGTCTGCTTCTCCCTCTGACCTTCTCCTCGCTCATGCTCTCTCTCACTGTCTCTTTCTCTCTCTCAAATAAATAAATAAAATGTTTAAAAATAAATAAATAAAAAAATAAAAGACAGGGAAACAAAGGACAAGCCTTTAGTTGGCTTTTCCAGCACTGAAGTAGCAGAACTAGAAACCCAACTCAACAGACTCCATAGTCTACATTTTTTTCCGTCACACTTAGGAATCATAATAAAATGCATTAAATAAGGAAAATGTTTAGAAATGTCACAAAGTAGAAGGCCAGTTAAAAGATTTCACTCGTTAATTTAATACATGTTTATTGAGGATTTTCCATGTGCCCTGTAAAAATACATTGGGAAACAGAATAAATATATATATTTATTAATTATATTAAGTATAAATTAATGTATATTTAAAGTCAACAAATTAAAATTAATTTTTATTTTAAAAATCAAAAAATTTTAAATTAATAATTATATGTGTGTGTGTTTGTGTGTGTGTGTATACATATATACATACACATTTGAGGACCATGTCTCCCTAAATTGCAAAACACAGCAAAAAAAAAAAATTGCAACAAAATTAATGGTAGAACCAGGTGTTAAGTAGTGGCGCAGGCTAATAATGTAGTAATTTCCAGAAAGATGAACCACTGGGGCTCTAAGAGAAGATATTATCAGGGAAGTAGGACTTGAGCTGTCCGACAAGTTACATAAAATTCGCAGTATTCACTCACTCACTCATTGGTTCATTCAGCAAGTATTTATTGAGTTACTGTCCCAGTGCGGGGTGAGGGGGTGGGGGAGTTCCAGCTGTAAATCAAGCAAGTGTGGTCCCTCCCTCCTGGAATTTGCAATGGAAAGGTAACAGTCAGTTACTATGTTATGGTCATTGTTTTAATGTCAGAAGAACAATTCACTACCCATCCAGTTAGATGAGGGTAGATGGTGCACATCAGGTAGAAACCAACAGCTTTTGGAGAGGTCATTTCTACACCCACAGACTTGTGTATTTTGTACTGAGTTGACCAAGCATCTGTTGGTGGGTTGGTTGGTTGGTTGTTGTAGCTTTTTAATAATGTCCATAGATAGAAATTCTAAACTAGTTATAGTAAATTACATGTGTGTATACTTATAGGTATTTACATATGGTTTATTTTTTCATATAATAAGATATAATGTTTTCATATAGTAAGAAAGAACATGAGAGAAGACAGGAGGTAGGGGAAAGTGGGAAACAGAAAAAGGAAAGTCTAAGATTGAGTTGCAGGGGCGCCTGGGTGTCTCAGTCAGTTAAGCATCACTGGGTTTTGGCTCAGATCTTGATCTCAGGGTCCTGAGATCAAGGCCACATTGGGCTCTGAGCTAAGTGGGGAGTTTGCTTAAAGATTCTCTCTCTCTGCCACTCTCCCAACTTGCAGGTGTGCGCACTCTCTCCCTCTCTCTCTGTAAAATTAAAAGAAGAAAAATTAAGTTACAAAGCATTGTACTTAGGATATTTATAAAATTCTTCAAAATATTATAAAATTCACGTGGAAGGGGCGCCTGGGTGGCTCAGTGGGTTAAAGCCTCTGCCTTCAGCTCAGGTCATGATCCCAGGGTTCTGGGATCGAGCTCCACATAGGGCTCTCTTCTCAGCAGGGAGCCTGCTTCCTCCTCTCTCTGCCTGCCTCTCTGCCTACTTGTGATCTCTGTCAAATAAATAAATAAAATCTTTAAAAAAAAATTCACGTGGAAGGGAGGATTAGTCTGGTGCATGACATGTATGTATGGACATAAGGGACATTTTCTATGGTTTGGACATGTGTTTATCCAGACCCCTTTTCCCTAAAGCTTAACCCAGACAGATACTTCCCTCTGCTGACTTGAGAGCAAAGATTTGTATTTTTCCACCCAAATTTTCCCAGTTGCCTAATTGAAATATTCATTAGCAGAAATGACTCGTCTCCACCTCCCACTTCTCTCTGAAAATGTTGTGTGACTTCCAGAGTAAGCCTCAACCTCAATAATTCATTATTTTTCTTATGATTTTGAGTCTTCTGACATTTTAACCATGACCAATTTATGATTTTCCCAGCAACTTACCATGAAAAGAATTACAGCCCTGCTCGTTATAGAAGATTTACCATATCTGCCCTGAATTACGTTCTCTATCTCCTGTATTAGCCAGCCTGCTTTAAACTGTTTTTGAGCCTTTCAGGGTCTTCCTGGGCGCCCCTTCATCAGGTCCGCATTCCGCCAGTGGAACAGCACTTTGCTTTGTTCCCAGAGCTGCCGGCTGACTCTGTCTTAGGGTCGGGACCGGTTTTATTTACTTTGTGTGTATGTATTCTCTTCCAGTCTTTTTTCCACCCAAATGGTTTAATCATATGAAATGCAAGCTATTCAATGATGCATTTTTAGTAACACCTTTTCCTAAATTATTTTTCCATGTTATTGTTTTATGTTTAAGAAATTTAGTCCATTGAAGAAATCTCCAATTTATTTAACCATGCTAGTGTTTCTATGTAGACTGTTTCCATTGCTTTACTCTTCCTAGCCAAGTTTCTTTGGAGAACTTAATCTCTTCAAGCATGTGGAAGCATTTTACCTTTCCTGAGAAATGATGATTATATCTACTTCATGGGATTGTTGTGAGATTTTAATATGATTACTTACATGCAATAACTGCATAGTACCTAGGCCTAGTAAGCATTCATTAACTATTAACTTATTCCTTCCATTTTGCTCTTTAAAAAAAAAATATTACATGAACATTTCTATGCATAGGGCTTTTCAGCAATTAGAATTATTGCCCTTGGATAGATTCCTCTGTGTTGAACTAGTAGGTGACAAGAAATTAATATTTTGAAGTGAAATACTGGACAATTAATTTCCAAAATATATGTGTATTTAATATTTATTTGCTAACTTGATATGTAAAGATGGCATCCTATTATTTGATCTTAAATTCTTTTATAACTATCCTTTGTAAATTATTTACTTTCCCTATCTTCTACTCCTGTTTCCTCCTTTGTAAATAGATGATTTTCACACCATATCCATTTATCACACAGAGTTCTTGGTGGAGATTTTTGTTTTGTTTTGTTTTTGGTCATTAACAAGCATTTTAATCTTGGAATTCATATCTCCTAAAAAATACTTATCTAGTCTGTTTTTGGCCCCTTAATGCTGGTTTTTTTTTTTAATAGGTTTAACTTTTCCTTGATGAGTTCTTTATTGTATTTCTAACTATAGAAATGCTTGGCCCAGGCTAGAAGTTGATAGGTATTCCCAGTTTTCTGTGTCTCTATTGGTTTACTTCTTTCTTTGATCAGACCTTCCGTTATGTGTATTTTAATCTACTCATGAAGTATCTGCTCAGTACTACTGATCTGTGTTTGTCCAAGTACCACATTGTTTCAGCTCTGAGAGCTCGATCGAGTATTTATATTACCTACCTTGTGCTCTTGTTACCGTACCCCATTCCTTTCCTGCTCATTCCTTTCCACACAGCTACAGCCAGCGCTCGTCGCACAGTCTGCTTGGGGACACCTCTGAAAATGTTCAGCGTGTGAGACAGAATGTGAAACACAGGCCCCACAGTCTCAGAAGGGGCTTAAAGATGATTTAGTGTGGCCTGCCTCCCAAGACATCTCCGCTAAACTGTCTCTGACAGGATTATGGAGACACTGGATTTTATGAGCACCTGGCCTTCTCCCAAAGTTTCTGATATTTCTAAATGAGCAACCCGTCTTCCCATATTGGTTGAAACTAAATTGATACTCAGTCCCATGCCTTACTATTCCTTGTGCTTATTGAGGAACTAAGATTATCAGCAAAGGAAGGCACACCTTTTTTCATGTCCTCTGATTTTATCAGAAGGGTTTCCTAGGAGATCAAATCACTTACTGCCACTGTCTCATCGTGCCTTTCTAATGTGCTGTTGTTATTCCCACAGCGACCCCTTCTCCATTTTCCTTTCCTCACATGGGCCCACCATGATTCCATCCCCTCTCAGGAACTTCCCTACTTACCCTCTTCTTACCAAGTTCTGCTTATCATTTCATTGAATTGGTTTCTTTGGTCCAGAACATACCATCATGTTGTTTACCCCAGCATTAAATCCCATACTTCAGTGTCTCAGTTTATGTATAACATAACGTTTACCTCCCTGTGTTATTGTTTCATGTTTATTTTATTCCCCATACTTTTAGTTTTGTGAAACTTCTCATTTTTGTGCATTTCAATACTTTGTGCATTGATAGAGATCTAGATTTTTCTAAAGTGATCTGTTAGAACATCGGTGCCACGTGGCTGTTAGGTAGAGCGGATGTCCTGCAAGTATTTACCTGGCCCAAAAAGCCATGGCAAATTCAGGGCTTAAAACAGATAGGTTGCTTTCTTTGTGAGTTTCCTCAAAGCCTTTACTATCCTAATGTGCAAAGTATAGTTTCAGAGAGTAGTATCTAATACATAGGCTTCCCAAAACTTAATTTAGCTTTAAAAA